ATGAAAGTGATGATAACTATAATATAAGTATTAGCAATAGGTACAATGGACACGCGAACTTTTCGTTTATGCGTCGACAAAGACCGTGATTAGATCGCGTATTAATTTAAACATTGGTTTTCCGCTCCTGCACACGTCACGACATTCTTTCCGTATTCTGGGTGCTTTTGCGGATTGAATGATTATATTTAATTTATAATAATATATAAATTATTACTATTATCCTTTATCAATCGTATAATAGACGTATATAGAAATATAGGAGAGTGTACTGGTAGGTACATTTTTTGGTTTAAGGTAATTTTTATGCTCGAAAACCGCATATTTAGCTCAGACTATTTGAAAAACTTGTTAATTATAATACTATATAACAATATTGTGTATAGTGACATATGAACAATCAATGGCGGATATTTTTTAAATTGAAAGTATTTCTAAATGTCCACAACCATATTAATGAGCTACCTAGTACATACATTTCTATTAAGCGTAAATAGGGGGGACTAAAGAGCATCAACGCTCAGTCAAGCCCCACCCGAAATCAAATCCTTATCAAAGAATTATTAAGTATAAATAACCAACATTATCACTAATATTTCTATTTATAAATTTTGCAAAGTTAGGTTTTTGTTGAATTAGTGAGAAATTAATATTATAAAATATCCGTCCTGAAAAACAATACCTTAAAGTTAACCTATTTGCCAACGTGTCGCAGCTTGTATACTTAATAATAATGAAATCAATACATATGCAAATATTGCATTTAAACCGTATCTAAATTATGTACTGTGTAGTTCCATTTTACTTGATTATTTATGATTTAAAATACGAATGTTTGATTTCTATAATGCCTATACACAATTATACCTAATATACGAGACTTGAAAATTAATCAATTTTATATTCTCTACCGATATCTAATAGATAACTGTAGTTAGGTTGGTAACCATATCTCAAAAGTGTTGACTAATAAGTAATCATTTACATAAAGAGTACGTTAAACAATTTTCAGTTCAATAAAATAGGTTTACAGTTTTATAAAACCAGCTTTCGAGAAATGTTTGAATTTTGAATGATAATTAATATTACGTATTGACATTTTAATATAAAATCTTAAGATCACTTCTATCATTATATCATCATATATGTATAAAATTATACTTTTGGACGTTCGGTTTTCAATCATTTTTCTATGGCTTAAAAATTAATATTTTTTTTTTTTTTTTTTTTTTTATACTGGCGATATTATAGTTATCTATACATATGCATTATAGACTGACTATACGTATATTATTAAATTACTATAAAAGTGACTTTCGAACATAGTGTAAATATTATCATGGAATATAATGATTCACAAAACTTGGCCGTCCGTCTTTTGAATTTCACCGACTATAATCATATCAAAATTCCTCGTAATTTGACACTATAACAAAATGCGCCGTCCATCCAAGTATCCGACTATTGCTAAATAGCAATAATAATATAGAAGTACCAATTATAGTATCTAGAGAGTAAATAAATAGAGAATGGTATTGGTGTCGTTATTTCAGGTCGGTTCCCTTTACCAGTGAAAAAATATCTTTAAAATAATATTATCAATTATTATTTTAAAAGTTTTCAAATACTTTAAGTTATGGTATTTGCTTAACTATATTTGTTTCGAATTGAGCTCAATCAAGGAGGGGGTAGTTTGAAAATTGTTATACACCACAAAATATTGTGAGATGTTCATTTAAATCATTCATAAATTATAATGTAAAACCCTGTTCTATATTAATTAATTTAGTTCAAGTTCGTTTGTTTATTATTGATTATTGATATTGATTTTATTATCAACTTTTTCAAGTGTCATTATTTTTAATTAAATATCATATTATTATCTAAGTATAGTAAAAACAATACAATTATATATTTTAAATGATTTTGAGCGGAACGAGAAATTTATTGATTTTACAATGATGACACAATTTTTTTTTTATGTGATCACTTTTTTTACCATAAAGCTTACTCCGATTATCAAGTATAGTACCTTTTCTGAAAGGAAATGTTCACTGGATGGTACTATAAACCAGTCATTTTTTTTAAATTCTCGTTAATGTTCTAGATAATGAAGAAAACCTAGTTCTTTAGGTCAAAAAAGATTGAAAGATTAAACATAAGATTGTCATTGGCAAATGTTTTTATTTATTATTTAATTTTCTTTAAACAATCATTGTTGTAATCATTTTACCATAATATGACATATATATTGTTGACAATGTCACACTATCAACTGAACTCCGCTCAGACTCGTTTTTTCGTTAACAATGGTTTATGGTTGCTTCAGATACATATAAAATTCCCGTCTCAACTTCCCACCTACAAAAGTGGCTTCACCCAAGTGTGTAGTATGTCCGTATTTTTAATTTTTTATTCAACATCGTACCTATAAGAAAATGTTTAATATTTCCTATTTTTTTTAAAACTAAAAACAAAACAGCATCCTACAACGACTTTCTTAAAATATTATTGGAATTTAACTATAGAATTATTTTTTTTATTGAACAAATTTTATCAACTTCGGCTGCTTTCACCATTATTTTTCTTTTTGTTGTCCATGACCTTGAAAACCATGCAGACAAACAATTTTTAGTCTGCCGTTCTCTATCTAGGTATCTCCTATGCGTTCCTGGCTTTTTTTATTTTACTTCATTTCTTATGCGATCTTCCTACCTTGTACGAGAAAGTCTTAATGGTCGCTTACTTTCAGAATCTCCAAATTGAACCATCTTAATAATATTAACGAATTTGGTCATCATGGTTAGATACATAAAAAAGAGTTTCCTTGGATATTTGATACAAACCAATGGTGGATCTGTTGGAAGGTTGTTCTGTAGTAAAATATTTATAGATTACGGTGGATAATAATTATATTGTGATTATAACATTTTTCTTGTACTATCTGCGAATATAATAGATACCTTATTCATGACATAGATTTAAATCACGACAAATAAGAACATGATAAGAAATTTTATTCAAAAAATCGATAGTATAAACAATAGAAATTGATTTGTAACGTTTAATTTTTGAACAAAATCCAACAATAAAATATTTTCAAACTGTTGAGTTTTGGAATATATAATAGAATACAGAGTGTACAGAATTTTCTATTACAGCAATTTTCTCCTATAAATATATAAAATGGAGAATAATGTACAATGAAACACTTTTATTAAATAGTGTTATTTAAAATTATATGCTAGTTGAAATGTTTAGACGCCCTTTTGAAGGTGGTTTGGGGGTCAACGTATGAAATTCAAATGGCAACCCATATTCAAGATTCGATAAATAGACGGAGTATTTTTTTAAATAAATTGATGGGATATTCTACTTTTTAATTTAGACAAGAGAGAATAGTGGGAACACTATGCGCTGTGTGATGGCGCGGCACGCGGTGTTTGAGTAATAATAATAATAAAATAATACCCCATCTATCTATGAAATTTTGAATAAAGAATGCTATTTGAATTTCAAAATTTAACCACCAAATCCCCCCCCCCGCGCCCCAAAAGGGGTTTCAAACCTACATATAATTCTATATTACACTAAATTATATTTCAATGTACATTATTCTCTATTTTGTATATTTATGGGGGAAAATTGCTATAACATACAATTCTGCACACTCTGTATATCCATTTATCATCTTGATTAAAAACGCTGGATTCCGGAAAACATCCTAATAAGTACCACTGCATTTTTGTGTATTTACATTGTCGAATTAATTATATAATAGATATAGGTATAATACCACAGATGATACAAAGTAATTTTTGATACATGCATCTATAAGATGTATAAATATTACCCTTAACTAGAAAAATTATAGCTAATAATTAGTAAGATTAGTAACCTTAATTTACTTCAATTTTTAATTAAATTAATATAATTTTACTATACATAAGTAAATAAACGTGCCTGTAAAGCTATATAGGTAAGTACACGTAGCCTACGTATGTAATCAGAGGTGGGTTGATATATTTTATTCGGTGATTCAAGTAATATAAAATAATACCCACCCCACCCTACACTACCTCGTAATTATAATCAGAATACACGGCATAAATTTATTTTAAAAAACAATACAAGTCAAAAGAATAAATATAGTGTACATGCTATTTTTAGGAATACGGTTTGGAATAAATATTTTACTATCTAATTATTAGAACAAGTTTTTAATTAGCTTTTCATAATTTATATAGGATAAAGGCTTGGCTATAGAATTAAATTATTAGAATTGTGCATGGAAATTGGAATTCATGGAATTTTGTTAAAATTCGTGCGCCCCAACATCCATCCACCACAAATTTGTTTTTCCGAAAATTATGTTCAGACCAAAATGAATATATTTCGGCGGCAAGTCGTTATTTACATAAATATATAAATACGAACATCAACATTCAACATACGCGGGATCGCGCGATCGGCCGGAGGGCGTGTCTCATTGAAAGAAAACGAGTAGGAGAGAAAAAAAAAACCGTCGCGACGGAAACGAGAAAAAGTAAAAATCCCAAACTCGAAATATATTATTATAATGCGTATACCTATATGACAACGGATAGTGACAGTATACCAGAAATTGTCTATACTACATACGAATCACGAGGCGGCGATAATTATATCGTTCGGGCGCATCGTCCGATAGTGCGGAATAAAAATTACAATAATGTGACGCACGTAAGTAAGTACGACTATATAATATAATAATAATAATAATAATAATATTATACGCATAGGTTTAAATGCGTATCGTTTATAGGCCACAATGTCACGGACCGGACGAAACCAGTTACCGGAATATAATAATAATATCTATATAATATATCGAACGTCCGGCAGCATGTTTGACCCAGATTATGCGGATGCACAAAGTCTTTGTGCACAGGTGAGGAGAGGGAGACGGAAAGGGTAGGTATCTGGCCGGTTAGAGGACCCGCCAAGAACGCGCGTGCCGTCACACTTGGTCCCGAGACGCCGTATCCGTCGCGTACAGTAATAACATTATCACCGCTCGCGGTCATACAATAATAAGTTGATAACCGAACGTTCGTAATAATATACCTCATACAGGCGTACGCCATCCGGTAGCGCACCTCTGTACTTGGACGATCTGTACGGGCACACGCGAGTTCGGAGATTTTCAAAAAAAATCTATTAAGCACGAGCCGTTAGAAAAAAAAAAAAAAAAAAAAAAAACAAAACAAAACAAAACTCCGGAAACGAATCGTCGAATTATTTTTCGCGAGATAACTTTTACCGAATTTACCAACCCGTCCTGTATCATCTTTATGTGATAAACCGCAGTATTCGTATTATTATTCTTTATCTAATAACGAACCAACTTCCGTATAAAATACATCGGCTATAATACTAATATTTTACCTAACTATTCTGACGAACCCGACTACGAACAAAATGATACGACTGTGAGTATTTACCTATATATAACTACCAACTACTACTATTGTTTTTTTTTTTTTTTTTTTTACATTTTCAGTGAATATAGAAATTTATTGGTTTGACTGTCAGCGTGCTTATTTTTTGGTTCTGTTTGTAAACAATTTTTACCAGAAAACATGTTCCAGTCAAATAATGACAAAAACGGTTTTTTGTAGAATTTTGTATGGATTTAATATTAAGGTGTATTGGAGAGTTCATTTTTTTTTGACTTTATATGTCGCAATTGGGAAAAATCGGAGAAAAAACGCGTAGGAAAAATCGACAAATTTACTTTGGGTAGTTAAAGATTTTTTTATTATTTTCGATTTTGTTTTCTACCAGAAATCTTGTTTAGAATTTCAAGAATCGTCAAGCACTTTTTTTGACAGAAAATGTCTAATTGGTGCGATGTCGTTTTTGATTTTCTTTGTTGTTTTGTTGAATTGGGTGAAACCGGAAAGAAACGTAGAAAAAATGCAACAGTTTACGGCATTAACGATTTTTGTAATTTGGTTTAAAATAATCGTAGAGACCTACGTATTTTTATAGAAAACGAATAATGATCTTTTCTAGTCTTTGTACGATTTTCAAAACATTCTGTCGACTTTTTAGTTTTATTCGATTTTATGTGGAAAAATTGCTTGACCGAATAAAAATGCTTGCAAATTTAATACGATGTTCATTGTAAGTTGTACATAGTGGAAATGATAAAAAAAAAAATAAAAAAAGTTAAGCATATAATGTATTAATGTACTAAATCGATTTTTACGAGAATCGAAAATAATTTCAAAACATGTTTAACCGAATTTCACTCAGAATCGTATTTCGTCAGCAATGACTTCTCGTTGCGTACAAATATGAATTAAATAACTATAGTATATGTATGTGTACATATATATTAAGAAACACATTGTAAATGCTAAAACTTTTATTAAAATTTTGTTTTCTATCTGTGAACTTCTTTTCTACCAAAAATCTTGCTCCAATCAAAAAATAGCAAGTGACTTTTTTGTTGAAATTTGATTTTTTAAGTTATATTGTGTCAAATCTGAGTGTTACTGCTGGGTAGCTTCTTTCCTCGCTCCCTCATGTCATTATAATATATCTGAACGCTCATATGCTTATTGTATATAACATTACAGATTATATGTATAAATGTTAAAAAAAAAAAGATTGTGTCAATAATATTTGGAAATGTGATTTTTCTGAAAATAAATAAATATCTTTAGTTAAACGTATTATTTTTAACAATTTAACACACACACAAATGTTTGCATAACTGTCCGTGTTGTTCAGAGTACACATTTATTTGATTATTTAAATTTACTTTGCCTTACCTAACTATTTACCCGACAACTTCAAAGTCTATAACTTTCTCATTAATCTAGTATAAAAAACTCATAAAGCAAAACAATATTTACCTATAGTTAATTATCGTAACTGAAGTAAGAAAATACTGTTGATTTTAGAATGGAGTGTTTTTTTTTTTTAAATTTATATCATTGAACGTATAGTCGAAGATTTTCATTGACTTTAAAACATTATGTTTTAGCCTAATAGTATAACCCAATCATCACGTACAAAATTAAAAATTGAACGTTTTTTTAAATGCCTATAATTTTTAGAGCGTAAACGTTATTGACATCTATATGACGCGTTACTTTTGTGTTACTATTATTATTATTTTGTTTAAAATTTTAAATTAATTAAAATTGATGAAAACATCAACTGCGAAATGCACATCCGCTTAATTGGTTTATAAAAGGGAGCACCACTTGAAAAAATGCGTTGACCTTCGACGTTTTAATATTACGTTTTTTTTATATAACAACAAACGGTTGTAAAATGTGTTCTATATTAATATTCAAAATTCCGTTGACTTTTATGAGTTGTGTTTGGATTCGAATATTTAAATCTTTTTTCGTTTTGAATCTCTTATTTGATCTATTATCTTTTTGAAAGTACATTAAAATGTGTTCTTCGTGCATTGATCATATAATGTCAGTCCATCGTTTTTTTTTTTTTTTTTTTTTATCATTTTTATTACCTACTTCGAAATCTAAATCTTTATTTTTACTAGGAATGATCAACATTCATGATCAAAACTCATGATGTATGTAACTCACGATGAAAATTTGTTTTTAAATAATATTTTGATTAAAATATCACGCAAATATCCTGGAATCGATTTCTATATACATCATTCGCCCAGTAGAATCGGATGACAATGAAATTACTATAAAATTAAATATTGTGCATTATGTTACTGATTATTATTACTTTTTTTTTTTAATATTTAACGTAAAATCACTTCATAAATATTTTTTATTAATAAAAAACAAAAATAATTTGATTTAAAAAAAAAAAACAAAAATGAACTTAGTGAAATGCATCGGTAAACCTATTTGTTATTATTATTATTAGAGGTACATTGTTATTATTTCAATCCAAGTATGTTTTCGGATACGAAAATAAATGCGATAGTAAAAATAAAGTATTAGTGCGCTTGAAATATTATTTTGAAATTGGTATAAAATATTTTTTAATTTACTCTTTCTATTCCAATTGATATTGATAAAATTCCTAAAAGAATATTAACAATCATCGAAACATAGGGACATTATAATGCACGCATTTAGTTTGCTAATAAGACAAGAAAAATACATAAATAAGCATTAATAAGTGATATTTTATAGCAATAGCGATGTAGAGAAGTGGTGAACCAATATGATTTTTTTTTTTTAATTTTTCCTATATCTGATATTTTGCTGATATATAACTGATATAAAACCAATAATATTGATATTTTGAAAACCACGAGTATTAATTAGTTGATATTGAAATTAACCGATAATAATTGATATTAGTCGAAACTCCAGAATTCTTTCATATTCCTGAAACATTATAGACATTTTTCTCCAAATATGTCGGATTAAAATAAATATTGGTTTCGAAAAAAAACCTTATACGTATTCAATATCCGATGATATCCTCAATATATCGGCCAATTTGTCGGCTTATGCCGATGCTCACCACTAATAATATCCTACATGATAATAATACGGTTTTATTATATTCAATGTACTATAATTATATTCGTAGTATTCCGAATAAAGTATACTGAATATTTTATAAATCCTTTTTTTTTTAAGTATTCAATGTCTACTGTTTTTCGAATAAGCAATTTAAAAAATTACTTGATTCCTTAAAAAAAAAATTCTTTTTCTCGGTCTTATTTTAGTATATCTATTGTTTAATACTTAAAGTAAAAATTCTCCGATTTTTATTGCTTTAAAAGATGTGAAGTTTCCGCCCGGTGGTACTCGATTTGAAACATTTTTTGAAGTTCCCAACAGTTCAAACATAATGTTATTTTTCATCGTAATTTTTCTTTTTTTAAACATTTTTCTAAAATATTATAAATGCTTTCAGCAAGCTATTAAGAATATTTTTAAAAATCTAGTAGTATAAAATCTAGAAGTATTCGAATACATATTTTGAATACTATTTTTGTATTTATTCCTAGTATTTTTAAAAAGTATTTTACTGCTGTTAAAGGTTTGTTTGAATAATTTTACATTGCCGGTTTTTTTTTTTAATTTATAACACGAGTAAGACGTATGAAAAATAATCGTCCTAATTATGGAGCAGTGACAGTAGCTATCTAATCATCGTCCTCTGTACTAGTTAGACGGATTACTTTAAAGTGCAACGTCGGTAGGTACCCATCTGCAGGTACTTAGGTATGAATGTCACGAAAATCTTAAACCGTATATAGCGTTATAAAATTATATTCATCGCCGACAATCGTGAGTTGTTACAAATTAAACGACGCGTATAATAAAATGTACAAGCGTATAAGGAATGTATTGTAGTCGTTTTTTCGAACCCGAGTCATGTTTAGGTAGTAAACATTATGCTATAATATTTGCTTACCTACATTCTCATTATTTAAATTTTTTCGCGCTTTCGCGTTTCCGTAGAAATTGAAAATACATCATATTATTATGCTATTATTTGAAAACATAAGTGGTGTCTTGGATCGTTTTCAATGAAAATAAATGTTTTGTCCAACAAAAAAAACCCGTTGTTCAACAAAATAACTATAGCTATAATTTATAATTTTTTTTTTTTTTACTAAAATCGCGTAGTTTATGTCAATATGTGTGCACTGTGCACATAATAAACATAGACAGACATATTGCGTTGACATATTATAATTATGTTTACATCGTATAGACGAGTGTTTCACAATTTCACAAAGAATAATTTGGTGAAAATAACAATAATAATATGTAAACAATCAATACGTATACAGGTGTTATACAGTGGGCCACCTTAATACTTAAGAAAGTGTTAATGTGGAGCGAATATAAAAATATGTAAAATACTGAAATGATAATAGGTATGTCTAATATTATGTTAAAAAACCCATTAAAACTTCCTCGTATCGTTACTAGATTTACTTTTAATGTGTCTGTTTGATTTTATTTGGAACACCTACCTACAAATTGTAGAAGTATTTAAAATAAATTTTAAATTGAGTTGTGAATACGTTATAATATCGATCTATTCTATTATATTTGTATATGAATAAACACAAAATTGCAGACAAAAAACAGTTAAATAATTACATTTATCGTTTTCATTGCAAAATTGTTAAAAGAAATATTTACTTGAGAATCAAATACGGACACAAAATCATCATGTTGTTCTTAATGTGTTTGATTATTATAATAAAATATGACATAATTTTATTTAGGTAAATTAAAAAAAAAAAAAAAAAACCGATTTCGTTTTCAATTAGTACTTACATAATATTAGTACCATACAAAAAGGGTTTTAACATTTAAACGTGTATCAAACATGTTACAGATTTATAATTTTAATTAATCCTAAGTCTACATTTAAAAACAATTCCCAACGTTGTCTTAAATTGCGTTTAATTAAGTGATAGAATAAAATATAGAGAGACTATAATGTAAACCAATATTATTGGTTCACGTATACCGCAGAAAAACAAATATGTTTAATAATACGTATTATTTAATAGTAGGTACGAAGTTCGTCTTGATAAAATAATCCGATGTAGTGTATCCGTGAGTGCCCCCCCCCCATAAGGTAATTTTCAGGGGAAGGACATCGGACATAGGCTGATAGAGGGTGAATTAATAAGCCCCACGCGTCAAGGTTTAATAAAAATAATTTTTCACGATTTTTGATATTTTACAGTGGGGGACGTTTCTATCTCTTTTACCTACCACAATGGGCGCACATGGGTATACCTAATATTTTAATTTTATACGGTATTTTCACGGTATCAAGGCTATAATATAATAGTACATAATATAATCATACTGTAAGTGCGAATATTTGTCCGTTATTCATCTGGATTTTATCGAACAAAAAAAAAATTGATCTAGATTTCTATAGTTATCATGCACGTGGGCATAACTGATTTTATTCACGACATAAACTGTAACCGGTTATAAGAGATTTATGTTTGTATCCGCCAATATAACCTTGCTAAGGTCATTATCACGCAGACACAAAAAGAATTTCATACGAAATAAAATTATTTTTGTCCGCAAATACCAAATTATGTTTTGCAATACTTTTTATATACAATAAGAACTTACACCAATATTTACACTAAAAAAAGAAAAAATACTTGTTTAATATGATTTTATTATTTCTAGACTAAATATTAAATATTTAAGATTTTAGCGAAGAATATATTGGTTTTACTAAGATGATTATTTTTTTCTTTTTCTTCTTTTTTTATTCTATGTACAAAAATTCTACCAGAAATATTGCTCCGATATGTACGCGCGGCACCATTTTGAAAAGAAATATTGTCCAAATGGTGCTTTTAGGTGGTCATTTGTTTGATTTCCCAAGTGGTTTTCATAATACCTGGGAAAAACCAGGATAAAACTTAAAAAAACGGGAAATTTACGAAAATAATGTTCTTTTTTCAAAATTGTTGGTTGTTGTTAGTCAGTTAAAAATATTCGTAGAGCCTTGAAATTTCAACAAAGAACTCATATTTACCTTTTCTAAACGTGGTAAATATTTAAGCCATTTTTGAGCAATTTATAGACATTTCAATTTTACAAGTTTTATACGTAATTTTTATTCGGTAGATATTGTGTGGTAACATTTTTAGGCTTAACAGGAATGTCTTAACATTAAAAGTGTTACTTTGTGGTCAAAAAAAAAAATTGAGTTTAATATCAAATTTGACGAAAATCGTTTGAGTTATATATTATGTGGAACAAATCTAATTTTTAAATATTGTATTTTGAATTTATGTATATTGCTGATTCAAGAACAATAGTGAAATCTGAATTGAGCGGACTGATTAATTTTTGAAATTATAGCTTTTGAAGTTCTGATATTATATATTATGTTTAATAATTCTATACTATCTCTCTTAAAAATATTTGTCATATGGTCTAATGGTTATAAATGCCTATTATCATCCTAGAGATCCTGAGCTCAAATCCGGGCTTCAAAAAAAAATTCGCATTTTTTCCCCCTTTTACCTAAAAAAGGGAAACACAAATGTATTTTGGGTATGCTTAGAGACCCGCGAGCCATCGCTCGCTCAATTTTAATTACAAAATATCCCTCGATTTGTTGTGCACATTTTTCCACGAGAAATCTTGCTCCGATGTATTAAGTGCACTTGTAGCTTATATTTTGATTTTATCTCAATGGTAATTTAAGGAGGCAATTTTTTGATATTTCAAGCGGTTTTCATAATAACTGGGAAAAATTGGGATAAAATGTTAGATTAACGGAAAATGTACGAAACGTACGTATTAGTAAAAAAAATATAGCCTATTTTTCTGTGTATAACTTTTCTACCAGCAATTTCGCTCCAATTAAATTTAATGATAGCACTTTTTCAAAAAGGAAATCTGATTGGAAAGGTACTTTAAGGAGGTCATTTTTTGATTTACCCAGGAGTATTCCCAGCAATCGTGAAAACCAAAAAAAAATATGGAAAAACCGAGAAAAATACAGAAAAAACCGGATAATCGGTACAATATTAAATTTTCTGAGAAATTGGAAAAGCGATACATTTTTAAAATTTAAATGGATATCATTCAAGAAACAGATAGGTACATTTTATAAATATACAATGATAAATTATGCTGACCTAGTTTATAGCCGAGAATTCGCGAATACTTGTAACGTCAGCGTGTCTTGTTTATAGCAAAACGCGTGCGAAAAATATCAATGAATAAAAAATAAAACAATTTCACTCATTTCGGCGAAGTCGACGATAACTACGATAGACACTCGTAAATAATAATGTTGCAACTAAGAGTCAGATATTTAATATTCGTAGAAACAATATATTTTGTCTTAAATATCATTAATTAAAAATCAATAATATTTTTCATCAACACGTTTAACTTTATTCTTCCAGACAAAGAGTCGAGTGTACGTCTGTATAGGTACACTCCCTTGAAAAATACAAAGACAAATAAATAAATACGTATTGCAAAAATCACACGGTATATACGGTAATTGCAAAGTTATAGCCATAAACATGTGCAATTTTGCGCAAAATTTGTCTTTCGTTTTTTGAATATATATGTGAATAATTTAAATACATCGGTTTTCCTTTCTAAACGTGTTGGATCGATGCCAAACCAACAAATTTGTTTGGATTTAGAACAAACAGAACAAAACGAGTTTCAGCGTGTATTTCCCGCACGATGTGCATGACACATTCAATGAGAGATTTCACTTGGCCTAATAATTCCTAACAGTCGAATCAAATTTATGAATGCGAACGTTCGAAAAAGTATTAATTAAAATTAGAAAAATCGTAAAAAAATGTAGACGTTATAATATCTAAGTACCGCTAGATTAATATAAATCATTTATGTCTGATGTTTTAATCAGCTGAAGAAATGAAAACCTTTTTTTTGAATATTTCAAATAAAAATAATTGGAAAACAAATATTTGCTTGTCATTTGAAAATAGAAAGTCGACGCGACTTCGAAATAGACGAGTCGCTGGTGTCTCACGTGGTGTTCGTTGTGCACTTACTTTAATGGCTGTCAATAAATTTACAACTTTATAGTAACATCTTTTATCTGATTAATAACTGCAATTGATGCACCTATGTTTTTTTTTTTTTTTTTTTAATGATAATTTAATCACTGAGCGGGTTACTGTAGACAATATAATATTTAACGGATAAATTACGGTTTTCAATCATTGTACATATCAAATAATTTAATAATTAGGAGATGGTTTTTATTTTTATTTTTTTTTGTTATTACCATTTAGATTTTTCGAAATGATAATTACAAATAAAATAATATAACGAGACGCAAATGAAATATGAATCACTGTATCATGCTGATACTATAACAATTAATTACAACTTTGACTACAACAGAGATATTGTAGTATTGTATATATTAAACAGGAAGGTTTAATATAATGGTATAATTTAAGTGAATAATCAATGGCGTCCATATTCATAAATCCGCGGAGGGGACAATGCATTAATATTTAATTGGATTTTTCAATGATATTGACCTTTATGTTAAAATGTTAATAATAATAACATGCCATACGTACGTACGGAAAAGCCAATAGGAAACATGCCCCTCTCCTTGTCCCCTCACGTCCCCCTGTCGCGTACGTGAACAAGTTTATTGTTTATTTATTTGTTTAAATAATATACGAACCATTCACTGTCATTTTTAACGAAAGTTAAATTTACAAGTATTATAATATGTAGTATAAAATGAAACGAGATGTTTTCATTCCGCATATCTATTATAAAAAAAACCGCTGATAAAGTCATCATTTTTCGGTATTTTATCTGAATCGCGTGTAATACTGCAGGCTGTCCTCCCACACATACATAATATTATGATAAATCGATATATAAGAAAGTATTAATTTTTTGGACTTTTTATTGTTTTCGTTTTTTCTGAAAAATTAAAAAACAAAAACTAAAATATTACGTTATCGTTATTTTCTGTTAACCTTTTGGGAGTGGACCGACTATTTTTAATTATCAAATAGTAACCTTTATTACGAATTCCATTAATAGACGGAGTATTAGTTTAAATATTTGTTTACGGAAATCAAAAATGGCAACGCCAAAATGTTTTTAAACTAATACTCAGTCAATTTATGGAATATTTAATATAAGTTGCCATTAATAGGTTTATAGGTTCCCAAAATTATATGGTCGGTTCACCCCCCGAAAAAAAGGATGACAATAATAATAGAAACGCAACATTTTAGAGTTGCATGTTTTTTAAATTTTCCAACGAAAATTCCGAAAAAGGTCCATACGTTCCAAGATATCGCCGTTGATGTAGGCGGAAGGCGAGATGTTTTTGAAAGCTAGAATATTATTCAGAGTAATTTAATTTATATTTGTATGCTCCAATAAATGTTTCCTAATGAAAAATGATTCCGAGTAAAATTCGGTTGAACATATTTTGAAATGCCGTAGATTTTACTAATTTCTTAAAAAATTGAACTGAAACCGGTTAGAAAAAAACTCTTACATTTCGTGTACATTTTTATACATTCAAATATTTGTTTTTACCACTGGTTATTGCCTTTAATTGTTATTAATAGAGACAATTATAAAATGATTACTTCAATAATGCACCAACTAAACAAAACTTGCCTCTAAAAACCACGTTTATGATTGAAGCAAGATTTCTGAGTGTATAGTAAAGTTTTTCATAAACAAAAACATAACGCAGTAAAAACAATACATTCCTCGCTACGCATAGAATCTTAACAAATAGGTAGTTCCATTCCGAATTGTATATTTATAAAACAATTTTCGTATAATCAAATAAATTCAATGTATTTTCACACGTATTCTAATCTCTAACAAAATAATTTCTAATTCCATATTAGATTCTAAGACGATCTAACAATGATGATTATTTATTTTTTTTTTTTCTGTGAACAACTTTTTTACCGTAAAATTCGCTCCGAATATCATGTGTAACACTTTTTCAGAAAGAAACTTTGACTGGGGTAGTAGTTTAAGATGGTAATTTTTGATTTTCCAAAGATTTTTCATAATATATGGGGAAAAACGGAAAAATATCCAAAATATATTATTGTCAAATCGTAAACATTCGACCTTTTAAAACATGTATCTATCTCTCGGTCTATCTCGGTGTATAATATGGGAATATTCCAGTTGTCAGAAAAATGATAAGACAAGTTCACCACAACGGAGTTATCAAAATTCTAATCTAAAAATTATGTATTCACATATAATGTGACCAACTATTATAATAAATATATTTTATGATTCCACTTTGTACTTTTCCAGTATCGATTTTGGCTGCAGCCATCGTTTGTAATTAATTTTCGTTTTCTTATTACAAATAGGTGTTCAATATTCGGTGTCTGTGTGGCAAGGAAAATAGTAAAATTCGTGCAAGATAGAGAGCGAGAGAGCGGTTATTAGTAGTATCAATTATGGTAGCTAACTGATTTTTATGGAATGCCTTATCCATATGTTTAATATCTATGGTACTGCTCGTTTATTATTGACCACGGGTAATACATTATTATCTTTATTGATATTGAAAAGTATGGTTCGTGTTAAGTGCACTTGTTTTATAAATAATATGCTATGTAACAGTCGATGTCATCATAATCAATCTTTATGTAAAAATAAATAGTAAGAGAGAAAAAAAATATATGTATAGTGTATTAATTATTGTTTAAATTAATCAATCAATTAATTATTTTGTAAATAAAACAATACAAGAAATATAGGTAAAATTAATTTCATGATTGTTTCATAATACTTCTTAGGTAACACTGTCATTTATAAAAAATACAATGTATGGTTTACGTAGGTAATTGTCCATTTCATGCAACGGATGTCTGTTTCGTGCAATGGATGTCCATATTATAATGCATTTTCGTCAAAATGCACGATCTGGACGAATTTCACTATCTGGATATCCAGTTCACGAAACGAGTGATTTTATTATGTGGACGCGACATCGGGCGTATACATATAATTTTGTCTTGTGTAATTTTTTCTCTACATTTTTTGGTCTAATAGTATCATAAATGCATATATTTTCAAAATGTATAATATGTCTGGTTCGAAATATCGAAAACTATACAAAATTAACCGAAGCTCTTCTGTCTTAAGACATAATATATGTATTTTTAAATTATTTTAATTTTTAATACATTTTGCATCATGTTATTGTAGGTTATAAAATTATATGGTACCTATAGTGTTGTTATAACGTCGTCAACCGTACCTACATTTACCTATATTTTTTTTTTTAATAGAGATTTTTGGAAATATTATAAATTGTATGTATAATAGGTGGCCAAGTCCCTATATATTTATCGGTTTATTATACTATCATTTTGCTTAGTTCCTACAAAATCTTTATTATAGGTAATACTTTACATACGATGACCTCAATATTTTTGTCTATAATGTTCGTTACAATAATTATATTTTCTCGTAACACACACACACACACACACATATATGTATATATATATATATATATTATATAAGTATTATTTTTATGCATGGTCTTTCCCTCCCCCCCTCGATAATTGTATATGATCTTTTCGTCCCAGCGGGAACGTTAAAAAACTTATGTCCGAGTTCATCACAAGTTGCGGAACTTCAATCACAATCTTTTTTCGTCGTTAGCGATGATTAGCGTTAGCGATTAATGTTAGCGTTAGCGATTAATGTTAGCGTTAATGATTGAACGTTGAGAACATAATTTATACGTATAAATTAAATTGCCTTACATCTACCTGTACCATCTCAACCCCGCATCTAAAACAGTGACGTACGCATCAGGAACAGTATTCTGTACGGTTGTACCCACGAGAAACGTTTAGCGATTGGCTTTTATGGACGTATAATAGGTATTATAATATAGTTATTTAGTTCACAGACGCGCACCGGAATAAAGAATTGAAGTATGAAATCCAATAAATCCGATAAATCTCCTACCGCGTTACCGACGAATTATAATTATATTATTTCGGATGTACGTGCGGGCTTGATATTTTAGATATTATTATAAAAGAGAAAACGAACACGAACGACGTTAAATCGTTTTAGTGCGCGATGACGGATGTAAACGCGTGTTTATTTTTACGGACAGTGATTTTATATAATAATACATTAGAAAAAAAAAAAAGTGAAAAATTGAATAAAAATAAAAATCGTCGATATTGTTACAATATTTTATTATTACATAGGTATAAAGGTAGGAGTAAAGGTGTACTCGTTGTTTATTCGCTATAATATGACGACATCAGACAATAATAATAATTAATACTAATAATAATTAATATTAATTAATAATACCTACACTGCCTACTGGCTAAAAATTACAATTGTCTATACCTGCCTATGGTACCCGCATAGTAGGCATAGTAAATTATGCGACGCATTGTTTTTAGGTACCTGATATTATTAAGTTATTGAAAACAGAAGAGTAGAAAGTAGGTTTACCTAATGTTTCCGTTGTTTACTATCGAAATATATTCGTGAAAAATTTAGCTCGACTAACAAATGACCACCCCGGTGCTGCCGCAATAATTGCGGGAGGCGCAATACGTTCCTTTCGGTATAGGCGATTCTACGACGGCTAAGACGGTCGGTACCTATATTGCGTGCTCGAGTAGACAATTTATAACGGCAGTAAATTGGAAACGAAAACTATTTCAGTTAACAATAAATAATCTACAATAATGGAATTCAATGACTGCAGTGAGTCTATTATGAATCGTTTCTTATATTATATTATTTATTAGGTATTCGGATAATAAAGGAGAAATCATCACGTTCCCAATTTGAAACAACGAGTAAACACACCCGATAATAACGATATGTCTATCAGTCATATACCTATATTTAAATAAACACAGAATATCTGCGGTGTCTGCGGTCACGGACACACTGCAGAATCGCATATTATAATACATTATACGCATAAAGCGTATAATATTATGAACTCTCGACGGATAGCACATGCGTTATTTTCTTATTCCCGTCTTGACTTGGGAAATAAACAAATAGTACACAAACAATAATATAATAATATTGTTCCGAGTGGCAGTACTCCGAGCATAATATTATGTTTATTTGTACCGACTATCAATATCAGGTATCAATAGAAAAATCGCGTGTAGTACACGCGGTAGATGAATTTCTATACCTGTGTATGTATTTAATAACGCATTGTATTTTTCGATTGTACTGCAATAATATTGTATGTCCATATTTGAAAAGAGCCGCAAGCTATACGGTTAAGCCACTGTTGTAAGTGGAGAGTTTGGAAGGTTAGAGGATAATTTAGTTTGTATGCTGAAAGCAACGGTAAAATAACAACAATCGAAAAACTATTCTGAGCGGAGCTCGTTAAGGCGTCACGGTATTAGTATTCTCCCCGCGTGTAGCCTGCTAAGTACAGCCTGCTGTAGCGTGCTAACCCAGTAATCAAACCACCATATCGCGTCATTTGTTTCAGGTTTTTTTTTTTTTTTTTAGGCAAACTTCCGTAACTCATTAGTTTTAATTTCTGATTTATTTTTAATGGTCAACCATAAGAGTTTTCTGAATTACTAATGAAGAAATTTAAAAAGTATTACTAAGAGTTAAAAAAAAATAATGTAATTTAAAAAATGCAGAGTTAGAATTATAATTAGTTTAGTTTTGTTGTTTTGAACATTTATAAAAAGTTATTTACGACAGTTTTTGTTGCGAGAGCCGATATGTGATAAAAATGCACAAAGCGTCCCAAAAAATATACATTAAAACATATACAGCATACACGTCTACAGCAAAAAAATAACTGATTCTGAAAATTGAAATCCTAAGGCAGAATCAATTATTATTTTTATATGTAATTAATTATTCAAGTTGGTAAATGAAAAAAATTATCATTATTTTCTTTAACGGCTAATTTTATAAAAGTTGAAGATTTAAAAGAAAGAAAAAAAAGAAATAATATTAATAAGTACCTAGGTTATAATGTATTGTATATTATGATAATTATTGTTTACATACTAATTTCATTTAATGTATTATTTATACAATTAACATGTATATAATATTATGTGTAATGAAGAGAATCGAAAACAATGAACAAACCAAAGTTGTCAAAAATGAAATTGTAATTTTAAACTTTTAGATTCCGAGCGCAGTGAAGAATGTACTGGTTTTACGAAGATGTTTATTTTTTTTTTAAATTTTGGATTCCGAGTGTAGAGAGGGAACTATTGGTTTTACTAAGATGTTTATTTCTGTTTTTTTTTTTTTTTTGTTCTAGTCTGTGGACACGTTTTTTCCTAGTAAACTTGTTCCGATTTTTAAGCTTAGCATCTTTTCTGAAAGCTCAAGTTGTCTGGATTGTACTTTATAAAAGTCACGTTTTGATTTTCGACGCCGTTTTTTATATACAAGCACATAAATACATACATTAAAATACATATTCTCACATACAACAGTGGTTCATCTAGGTGCAAAGTATGTCCGTCTTTTTAGAACTAATGTTTTTATTTCGTCCCGTATTCATTCATAGTATAATAATACTATATATCTATTAATTAATATATTTTAAATTTGCATTCCCGTAATTAACTAAAGCATTTATACAAATCCACCGACGTCAGACACGCTCGTCACTGGATATATTATTATTATAAATGAATAGCGAATAAAAACAAATTGAAATTCAACGTGTGCCCAATCAATAAATATAATGAGAGAGTATTATAGAACAATATTATCTATAATGATTAATGACATTTACGTATTCAATTGAATATATGTAGGTACACATTTGATTTTAAACACAGATTGGATTAGAGTATATTTTCGCAACGTAATTTTGCTATATTGCATCTCGTTAGAAAGGCAGAAATGGTAAATTATACTGTGACGTCCTCTTGAGAATATTCGAATAATTCCCTTTTAATAATAATAATTGATAATAGTATGTTATTTAAATAAAATCGCCGAACCTAGACAATGTTAGATGAAAATCAATAATAAAATATACTTGAACTAGACAAGGTCTTGAAGAAAAACTGAACTGAGTTCAATTTTATGCTTATGAACTACAGTTCATAAACGAATTTATGATTTAAATCTATGATCCGAGGTCCGTGTTATAAAACGAATCAATATCAGATACCGACTCCGTATAGACCAGAGGTTCTCGAACTTTTTTTTTTCGCGTACCACTTATATGTATTATGGATTCGTTATATACCTACCGCTTATAATTAAACACAAACAGACATATTGGCACAACTACAGGGGTGTGAAGGGATGCCAAAACACCCCCAAATTTACTTTAAGCACCCCCAAGTTCCATGTCTTTGTAATTTCCAACATCTATAGTCTTAACAATGTAATTTTATTTTTTAAGATTTTATTATCAGTTTTTTTTTTCTTGTATACAGATTATAATGTTTATTATTACATATAGACTATAATTTAAATGTTTACCTACTTATCTGTTGATTTAAAAAAAAAAAAATAAAAACAATGTTTTGGCAACACTTAATATTATTATTGATATTTTTGTTTATCAGGTACAGCAAAAGCGTGTGGACTGTAGTTTTACATTTGTTCACGGTACAATTGCTACTGTACTCGGCGAGTAGTGCTGACGATAATAATTCCACCGACAACACCCCGTCGGGTGCTGAATTCCTCAAAAGCGTCATTGGCAACTTGCACCGTCCCAACCGCAAGGTGTTTAACGCCCGGATCGATGTCAACGAATATATACCCAACGACGCTTCGCACACGAGCCCCGGCAACGAATTAAAAATCCTATCAAGACAACCTACCAATTTCATGGCACAACAAAAAGTATGTGTATCATCGCATTCATTTGGATCGGCCACATTTGTCGAATTTCACTGATATATATTGCGCTATATTCTCCCGCTATACTTGTAGATACTTTTAGCGGTCCCCTTTGGACCAAAAATAATGAGCTCAAACTCGGCCGAAGTTAAAATTGTCGTATGAGTGTATTGAAGTGATAAAAGTTGAGTTGAATTTCAACATAAATTTCATCATATTGGGGCGAGAGTGAGGGCGTTTTTAAAGCCAGGAAGATGCAATTAGATACATATATATGCATGATGTTATAGTATCAAGGATGTGCCTTTTGGGTTTTTAACTTTTCACCTCTCCCCTCCCCACTATTTCAATGCTTAAATTTCAATACTTATTTAGGGAGTAGTATAGTTTTAGTCAATGTTATTTTCGTGAAAAAACTATACGGTATACACTTATTTATGAAATTGAGCAAGAAATATTGTGATTTCATAAGTACGAAACTAATCAGATTCAACCAATCAAAAAGTCGATCACTTCGCTTGTGAACATCTATATTACAAGGCTCTTATATAGTACATTCACAAATTCGCAAACTATACAAATATAACTTGTTCAAAAATCCACAAATTTATTATATGAACAATTAATTTTCCATCATTAGTTTAGTTGGTAAATAAATTTGAATGTGGAAAACTCAAAATGTATTTTATTATACGTCAAAGCCGTAATAGCTCATTTATTATTAAAATAATTTATAATCACAATGATATAGAGCTTGAAAATGATTCATTAAAACTTCTGAATCAATATTACAAAAATATATGCAGGTCTGTTCTATTAAAAAAAAAAAATGTGAAAAAAAAATAGTTCGCCATAAAATATAAGGAAGAAAAAAGAAAGCAAATTAAACGGAAATCGTTCCTTAGTTGAAAATTCGACTCTAATGACGGATCTTTGCTGCTCGGGATGGTTTTTTAAGGTGTACATAAAATATATACAATATTATTAATAATTCTTATTTTACAGAGTCATACTAATATGAATCGACCGACTCCATTAGCTGACGCTAACAATAACAACCAAGGTGAAAAAATGGCAATGTTCGCTTCGCAAATGGCACCTCAATTTATGAAAAACGAATTCTCGGATTCTCAACACAAAATAGTATCTCAAGGACCGCCTCAACAGATCAGCTCGGTACCACCCAGTAACTTTCTGTCGCCAAATTTAATTGAAGCTCTTTCAAGTAAAAATTAAACCAGACAATTTTAATTATAATATTATATTTTATTAGTTATTACCTATACGCAATAACCCATTATGTCTTTGAGTATCCATATGGTGACGAACAATTTTTTTCACAAAATATTTGACCATAATTTCAAATATTCACCACTTTCTATCCTGACGTTACCATAGGGCAGACACGGATCCCGAACAAAAATCTGAGGGGAATGCAACAATTTTTTTAAAACACAAATACAACTAAAATATAATATATTGCATTATGTATGTTATTTTTTCATACATATCAGTGATTGGAATATAGTAATATCAGGATCTATAGAATTATAAAAATAAAAAATCGGAGAAATAATATGTCTGGGGGGACCTGGGCCCCTAGGCCCCCCTTGGATACGTCCCTGCCATAGGGTGTCATCAAATACCTCATTGTTGGGTTAAAAAATAAAAAAATTATTTTAACGTTTTTTGATTAAAAATGAATTTTAACCATAGTTATATAAAAAAAAAATTTGAATTAAAAATAAATAAACTTCAGACCTAATGGGTTAAAGCGTTGTTAAAAAAATTGACTGTTACATGTAATCAGTGACATTCAGTGGTCAAATAGAATCAATATTGGCGAGACCTTAAAAATATTAATCCAAATAATCTACAAAAAAATAATGTACTACGGGAAACTTATAACTTCTCCCAGAAATAGATGTTGACGGTGTGTTTAATGTTTATCCGCCCACAATACTTCAATACTTAAGATTTCCATATTTCTCGTGTTGGCTTCTAAATACAATATTATACATTTGTAACATGATGATAGGTATAGGTAATTGGTAAAAGAAGATTGTTCATTTATTTTCTCCGAAAAAGCAACAAATGCAATAATATCGATAGATATTAGACGTAGCCGTTACTGTATTGTACTGTAATACCTTTTAAATTGAATATACCCAGTATAACCCAGAAATCGGTAAAATTATAATTGATAATAAAACTCTATTCGTGTCTTTCATATAAAATAATATTGAACATAAAAAATGAATTTGCAATGTTTACATTTGTAAACTTATTGAATTAAATTTGTCAATATTCCTGGCCTAAGACCTAATAGTTAATCATGTAAAAATAATAATCGATATTCGCATTAATCTGAAGGTACACAATATAATAATGTTATAATACTATTGCTAATAATTTCCTACCAATGTAATTTTCATGTAGGTATATCTATACCAGTATCCCCATATTAGATTTGAATATATTTTCATGCTCGTTATTAGATACGTGTAATTTCTACACGTTTAATTGCCCGTAGTGACGTAGTGTGCTTCTGACCTAGTTTAAATACCCATTTAAATAATACAGTTCATCAATCCGCATTTTCTGAAACGACGTTTTTACGACCGTTTTTTTATATATAGCTGCGTAGGATAAAATATATTATAGATATCATAACACAGTAATAATAATGTTTGAAGTAAAGGCGGCGCGAACTATTTCATCGAGATTCACATTTCACTTGTAAAACACTTCTAGCTCACTATAGCTATAGAAGCTACTATTGACTTTCCGCATAGATGCAATATTCCACATAATTTTTATTTTATTTTGGAGTCGAGCCGCCATAATATTGATTAAAAAGACTATGTATGCATTCTTATTGTTACATTTTTAATTTGGGGGGAGAACTTCATTGAGTTTTTTGAATCTACCCCACCTCCTATTGTACCAATGACTATCCACTATAAAAAGCAAATGCATTATAGTTTTCTTTCGTACACAAATGCCTATTTAGGCACCAAAGTAACTATCAATCATCTAATCGTTAGGTATTTATTTAATAAATTACATACGTGTAAGGTTAAGTTTTGTTAATACTTCATATTATTCGATATTTTAAGTGAATAAATGGTACACTTGTTTTCTTTTACCAGTATAAGAATGAAGAGTATGAAGAATTGTTTTTCCAATTTTAGAGATTTTTAGAAATCAAAAAAAATTAAATTCACATAAATCTAAACTAATCTATTCTAATAGGTACTAAACTAACACGAATATTCAGTGAAAGTATCAGTCTATACAGTTATTTCGTAATGAATTCTAAAAAAAAACCAAATAGATTTTCCCAACGTTTTTTTTTTATCGAATTTTTTCCATTTTTATTACTTATAGGTAGGTAAAATAAATAATAAAAAAAAATAAATGATCTATACCTAAAACCGTGAAGTTTTTGATCGGAGCAAGTATTCTGAACAAGAATTTGTTGGAAAACAGAAAAAAACACTGCACATGCCATCATAAAGTGTTTAATGTTAATCGAATCCTACAAACAGTTTGTCGAAAATTGTAAAAAATCTGAAAAGTTTACAACAATTGTTGTAAGCAGTTACACTAAACAATCTCACTAAGTCACATTGATTACTCAACAAGCAAACCAGTACAGTGGCGTGTTTACGAGGGGAGATTATGGAGATATAATTCCTACCTTGACCCTTTTCAGTATCTAGTATTTGTATGACTATCTACTTTTAAATTCAAATATGTTTATATTTTAGTCAGAAAAATTAAAATTATTATGTATTCAGTAGGTTAATATCTACTAGTTAAATTATTAAAAAAAAAACTGAACGTACTTATACATTTTCTTATTCAAAACGAAACTTGCCCGCACCACTGTAATATGAAGGAAATTAGATTAGTACATAAATAGTAAATAAAGGAAATAATTACTTACCTATAGTAGGTAACCTACAGTTAATTATTTTCAAGTAAATTACAGTTATTGAATTATAAATTAGATTAGTACTTACAGAAATAAATCAATTATTAAAAATTGATATCTTTTTATAAGCCTGGTTGCACATTATAAAATTATGACATAATTTGCAAATTTTTTATCTTTCTCCTTGCCAAAATCCTAAATTCGTCATTGGCGTATAGTTGGAAACAGTATACGAAAATAAACTCGCTAAAACACGTCTGTAGTAAAACCAAAAAAAATTGTGTTTATCCTGCAGGCGAATCCGTGAAACCGGACGGTACGATTAACGGTTACAATTACTTCTTTTACCCACTGGACAACGAGGCGCTCCAGCAGCTCCAGCAGCAACAACAATCACAACAGCAGATTCAGCAGTACAACAACGCCAACAACCACGAGATGCAGCAACAACAGCAAGACAACTCGATGGCTGGTGGCGGCGATCAAGACAACCATGCAATGACCAAACCCAAGGTGGAACCGCTGTTCGTGGCCATGGCTGGTTTCGTGGGCGTAGCTGTCGTGTTCCTCAGCGCACTCATGTTCATACCGCGACTGCCGATACCGGTGCTCGGCACCAAAGCCGCCTTGAAACGCGCCCCTGAAGAATTGGCCACCCTGACTAGACTGGTCGCTGAGTCCATCGACGGTAAAGACTGTACCGAGAGAATAGCCTGCGAGGTGGGCCGAGCCATGCGATCCATGCAATTGGATAACAAACCCATCAGGTACCGAGTTTTAATCGATTCTAAACGCGTAATCACATATTCAAAATTATGGCCAAATTTCGATAATTTTCAAACGTTATTATCTCCAAATCTGACAACAATGCATAGAATATACTATTTTTAGATTCGGAGGGGAGCGAGAAATGCATTAGTTTCACAATGATATTTATTTTTATTTTTATTTGTTTTTACCGTTGAACAACTTTTATACTAGAAATTTTACTCCGATTTTCAAGTGTATCTATTCCAAAAAGAAATTTTATCTGGGTCTGGGGACTAGGTGGATTTTCATAATAATTGGGAAAAACGAGAAAATGTACGTACATGTATAAAAAAAACTTAGCTCCGAATCGTTTTTCATTAGCAATACTTCATCGTTGTGTATAGATAAAAATGGAATTCCCCTCCATATCCTACTTTCCCAACTTCTCACTAACAACAGTTGCCCGTCGTGCGAAATATGTCAGTCTTTTTTTAACGGTGGGCAGTGACGTATTGGAGGGTATACGAGGGTTTACGAAACGGATCCTTATTTTCGGATTTATGCGTTTATCTCGTTATAAATTCGTTAATTATAGGTATGCGCTAACTAAAATTATGTACTTGCATTAAAGAAATACGCGAGCTTTTAATTAATCGTCACCGTATAATGGTAAAAAAAAAAAATAATAACAATAGGTAATATTATTATAATTATTATTTTATTGTATATTCTGTCCCAAAAGAGAGCAGACCGATAGACAAATTTAGAATGTAAATCTTCATAGCGGACATCCTGCTGAATCTATTTAGTGCACCGTTTTATTTACATCGCGGTTCGATTGAATGTTGTACTAAATTCGTAATATTGGTTTAAATTTTAAAACAAATTCATAATTACCTGAAGATTTATTAGACACTAAGTAGGTAGGTAATTTAATTTTAAAACTATTACCAATATAAAATGTCAGAAGTATGCCAGTAAATAGTTATTTACGATAGGTACACATACAGGCAATGTGTTGGTGTAGTAAGTGATTAGGTAGTTTGATGTAAGTGAAATGTCATTTCGAACGTAATGAGAAACATTTTTTTAGGGGTTTATTCGGCCCATTTTAGGTGCGTATACCCATACGCCATTGGGTACTTATCTATGCCTAATTTATTTAAGCCTGCTATAACTTTGTCAACTTATTAAACCGTTTCAGAATGATGGAAATAATACTTCCACCGGCAGTAGCAAAACAGTTGGCCCAGGTCAGAAGGTCTGCTTCGAGGAAAGAACAATGCCATTTCATTATGTGTAAAAAGACTGAGGGTACGTTAAAAATGGTGGCGAAACTGAAGAAAACCAACAACAATGCCAACACAAAAACCATCCACGACGTTAAAGAAATTTTTAAGTTACAATAGTAGCAACCGACACGTACCTATAGGTATATGTGTGTATATATACATACATATACTTGACACATGACACAATAATTTATTATAGATTTTAAGTTTATTTAACGAAATGTAAAAATATCTCATCTTTACCTATATATAGGTATGTAGTTCACTTTTCCTATATCGTCGCGGCCATGCATAAAGTGTTAAATAACTTCAAATAACAAATTAACACTTGGTCGAAATACAAAAACCTATAGTTCGATAAGGTATACATTTTACATTTCCAGTGGGTCTCTTATTTTACATTTAAATGCATATAACTGCTGTATGAACTGTATTAGGCATACCTATTATAATGTATTACACTTGCTTACTTTTTGCATGACAGCGACGATATTACTATTGTTTAAATGTTTGAAACATATAAAACAATAGAAGTGCCCAATTGGTATAATATGTGTATCAGTAACGTGGCATAAGTAATGTATTGTATTAAATGGGCATGCAAAATTAAATTTTATTTTAAGAAAATTGTTTAAACCAAGTTGGACCCCATGAAAAGCTTTAAATTTAGATTAAAATTAGCCTTTAACGATAGACAAATAATATTCTGGTAATATTGTATATAGTTGAGGATATTTGGTCATAAAATATAATATTACTGGGAATAATTCTAACTTTAAGTTCTTTTGATTTTTTTTTTTATATAGGTACTCAAATCGTTTTTAGTAAATCAAATACAATTTACAATCAAAGTACTAATCATGATCAGTGTTAATTCCAGACAATTTTTCTGGGGGGGGGGAATTACTAAAATTATAGTACTTTAACTAATTAATTACATAACTTAATTAATTTACCCACATTTAACAGGGTGGCAAACAAAATTCCAAGGGGGCTAAAACCTTCCCTATCATACACCTGGATTCAACACTGATCATGATTAGAAATGCAGGTATTTAATATAAAAACAGAAAAACAATAAGAACATGTTAGTGTATTACAATATGATAATATCCAATATGTTTACTCAAATTTTTTATTTATTTTCCGTGGTCATTATTACAATATAATATGCCATATATACCAGTGGTTTTCAACCAGTCCATGGTCAATAAGCCTGTCATTAGTGGTCCGTCAAACTATTTTGTTTCCTAAAAAAAAAAAATAAATAAATTGATGGCAGTGTAATATGAATATATATATAAAAAAAATAGATTTAAAATAAAAAATTATAGATCATCACATTTCATCAGATAATAACTATTATTGGGATGGTCGATAGTAACATCTTGTTTTTATCATTGGTTTGTCATTATAAAAAGAAATCATTAGTACAAAAAAAATAAAATAAAAGGTCATCAGAAAATTGAGGTGGTCCATGGTGGCACCTATCAAATGTTCTCAAGTAGTTCATAGTATCCAAAAAGTTGGGAACCACTGATCTATAGACATTCAATACTTCACGCCGTGTTACTGATAGAATATTAGGTAAAGTGAACTGTGTATAATTATTTATTATTTTATTTATAATAAAAAAAAAAAAAAAAATGCTCAATATATAATCTTAGTAGAACTGATAGCTGTATACATTAAATAAATTATGCAAAGGAAATAAAAAACAAATTTAATTTTTTCTCAATAATGATTGTATTGAATTATCAAATAATTGGCACCTACCATTTTACTACTTATTTTAGTTTATCAAAAATTTGCAATTTGGTTATAACTTACATTAATGCAACTATTTTTTCTAAAAGAAAAACTACATTGCTTTAACCCTTTCAGACCTGGAATTAATTTTTCTTTGTGTATCAATATTTAATAATGGGTTACTTCATAAGACAAAATTATTTTTTATATTTTTAACTAAGCTTTTTATCAAGTTATTAGTAAGTCCCAAATAGAAGTCATCGGGCATTTATGGAGTCAAAATAATATTATTAGTATTCATTTTTGGAAAGAATTGATGATTCCTACTTGTTGATATTACTTTGTTATCACGGAGGGAAAAAATATTAGATTTTTAAAACCATATTTTCAACTTAAAATTATTAATTTATTGTATAATATATAGAAACAATCAAACATGTCATATCAACATTTTTCAAAAGTGTTTTATGGTAAAACTTTAACATGATAAGAGTTAATTTTATGATTTTTGTAAACTGCATATTCTATGGATGCACTTTTAATAACAAAAATGCCAATTTTAAATGGTGATAAATAACACTTAAAAGAATGTCCTTACATCAGGTCTGATAAGGTTGACATTTACCTATTTATATTGATAGAAATCAATACATTTTATATACATAAGTAATACAAACAATAGGTAAATACAGAGTATCCCACGAAGATATACCTATTGTAATACCTTCAGAGATCATAAAGATAATCAAATTCTATTTTTTACATTACTCCCAGGAATAAGGACTACAAATATTTATACTGAAATTAATTTTTATACTTAGATAAAAATTTAAAAAAATTATTTTATTTTATTATTTCTGAAAAATTTGAAGATAGCCATTTTATAAAGTTTATTTTTCTGAAAATGTTGATGTATCAACTTTTTATTTTTAATGAATTCTTGATTTTTAATAATTTTTCAAAGTCCAGACAAAAGAAGTGTACAGTAAATTAAATAATAATAATCAATTAAAAATTGTGATTACAGCCTGCTACATAATTATAGGTACTTTTCTCTGAACATATTAAAATTATTAAAAATAAAAAGTTGACACATACAATTTTTAGAAATATAAACTCCATAAAATGGCCATCTTAAAATTTTTCAAAAATAATATTTTATTATTTTTGAAAATTTTTACCAAAACATGAATATTAATCACATTCTAAATATTTGTAGGTTTTATCCCAGTGAGTAAAGACAAAACCAGAATTTGATTATCTTTATTATCTCAGAGATATTACAATGGATGCCTTGTATATTAACTTTGGCATTTTCAGGATTCATAACTCTAAAGGTTTTGAAATTGTGTAAAATTCAACAGATTACAGGTATAAAAAACACAAATATCAAATATGAGATATGTTATTTAATGGGTAGAAAAATAAAAATACTACTATGGGAGAGGGATCTATTTCTCATATCACTCTTATAAAAAATGGGTAAAAATTCTTAACTATTAGTACAGGAAAAATAATTGTTAACATTTGAAAGTTTGCAGGGAAGGTGATGGTAACAGAATTTTGATGAAACCAAAACCAACTAGTTACCATATACCACATAACCCCAAATTGTTTTAACAAAATTTGGTAACAAAATATTATTATTAAGAAGAAATGTTATCATCGGAATATATATGAAAAAAAAAATGAACACATAATAAAAAAAAAAACAAAAATCACACAGTTCAATACAGTTACTATACTAAAATAAATTAAGTGAGTGAAAATATCAACAACGACTGTACACTACTGGTCGATATTTTTTTTCCATTTCTCTGTTCTTCACAATTGTATATGCAGCACTTCCTCCTAACACAACAGCATTTGAAAACCACCACATTGTTGACTTCCATTGGTTGTACCAAAACGATGCCAATATAGTTTGAAAACAGGATTTTGCAGTACCAGAAATGTTATGGGTTAATGGGGAAGTCACCTGAAACAAAAATGATTATTTTCATATTCAAGTACCAGTCACTAGATGCAATAATCAAAAATGTTGACTAAAGGCTACAAAATCTTACTTGTACTTGAAGTACTGTTACATAACCAATAGACAATCCACATATGCCACCAATTATCATTAAAAACAAAAAATTTAATTCAAACATTCTACTAAAGTTATTCAATTCTTTAGCTTCAAATGCTAATAGTGGAATGAATAATATACTGGCGTATAAATTATTGAAATATGAGAGTAACCAAATTTGATTACTGACTTCAGGGAGAACTTTTTTGATTTGTATAGAATAAAATGCCAACGAAAAGGAACTTAACACTCCAAATATTGTTCCAACCAATGAAAAAGAACCTGAAAAAATATAATGTGGGCTTAGTAACAAAAATAAATTAAACTATTTTTCACGAGAGAAAAGTAGTGTTTCGCGCACGCAGACTGAGCCAGACTGCCAGATTACACCTGGCCGGGTAGTGGTGGGAGCCCTGGGCGAGGTGCGGTGAGGTGATACGTAAGAATAACTGGTTTTCGTCAAGACTGTTCTTTCGTGAAAAATAGTATACATTTGACTGTATCCAAAAATAATTAGGTAAGTGCATATTTAACATTATTCAAATTAATAAAAGATCTGTGAACAATTTTAGTAATAGTTCATTAATCATATAACTAAACAATTCAGTGAATTAGTATGATAATATTTAATTAGTACCAACCCTTAAAAAAAATGGGTACCTTAAGGTTAGGTCCTTAAGAATAACCTTAATGAAAGCACTTAAATCACATAACATTCTATTAATTATTAAATATAATTTTAGAAATATTAATGAAACTAAATATAAGACTAAAATAATAATAGTACCTGAGAGGTTTTCTTGGTCAACCCCCAAAAAAAACCCACATACTACAGCAAAACAGCAGAGGAGACAGCTAATTGATGTAGTTTGACCTGAAAATTAAAATAGCATTATATTTTTCAAGTATAAAATCAATTTAAATATTTGTATGAGATATGTATGATGAATAACTTAATATCTTATGTAAACTTTTCAAGTAATATAAAGGATAATATAGGAACATTTTTATTGTAATAATAAAAATCACATTAGTAATTTGTTATTGAAAATGTTCATGCATAACACATAAATTCAATGAAATCATATAATTAAAAATTTTACTTATACATTAATAAAAAAAAAAAACCACCAGCGATACAAAATGTATTAATTTTTTTATTAGGTAAGCATAATGTATACTTCTAATGCTTTAAAATAATTAATAAAAAAAAAATTACAATCAACCAAGATAAATAAAAAGCTATTACTGTTGATGGGTGCTACTGTTATAGACGTTATAAGTTAGAGAAGTAAGATACATAAAATATAAATATTTAATTCATATCTGTATGCATTATCAACAAATTACAACAAATATCAATATTGAAAATACTAACATACACTTTCAGTTTTTCAGTTTTCTTTAAATTATTAGAAAAATTACATGAAGAATCAAAACAAGAACTTCTACAGTGCACCAACTAAATCCAAAATGCTACAAAAATGTTCTTTAATTTATACAAGATTTATGCTACAAAAATTGTACAGAGAAACAAAAAAAAATTAACAAAATATATTTAACACAATAATAATAACATGCATTCCTCGCTCCACTCAGAATCTTAAATTAAGAAATTTAAAAGCCAGCACAGCAATTACCTCAAATTTATATATAATATAAACTATTACAAATTATAAAAAATATTATTAGTATTATACAATATATCCTATCATATTTTATTGTGATTGTGTTAATATGTATTATATTATTGCCTGGTGTTATTCAATTTATTTTATTTACTATTGTTCATAATACAATTTAATAATAATGATATAATACACTATATCAAAAATAGAAAAACTAAAAAAAAAATTCTACATTAAATATGTATAAAATATTACACTATAAACTATGGTGTGATATACATATAGATCATTGAATAATTTTGGTTACAATCATCAATAATGAACCTTTATATTTATGAAAAGATAATTACCTAATATTATATAAGAAAGTATGACATTGAATACTGTTGTCAGTGATCGCCCAACATAATAAAATGTAACATCAACAAATTTTAAACAATAGTTATTTGTAGATATCATTAATATATATAATATTGTTAATGGCAGCACCTAAAATTAAAATAAGTTCAATTAATCATTTAATATAATGCAAACAAATGAACCGAAAAATACCATAAAAAAATTAGGTAGATAGGTAAGTAAGTATTAAATAACCACAGCCGATGATGTAAATTGGTTTATTTTTTTGAATTATAAGTCTATGATACTAATTTTACTAAAATTATATTTAAAAAAATGTATAATACACAATAATTACCAGGGCTGTACTTTTAGTATTTTAAACATCTATTAATTTTATTTGGTAATAACCTAACCTAAAAACTAATAAGATTCAAATTTAATTAAAACCAAACCATTATAACATTTTATTTTAGAGTTCATCATGTTATTTTTCACTATTTTATTTTTTAATAAATATTTTGTTATATATATAACATAATATAAACATAAATTATTATTATAAAAAAAAAAAAACAATGGTAATAAATAAAAACATAGTTTAAGTTTATTGAAATGTAAATTACAAACATAATATTATTACTTTCAAAAATCAATGAAATTATTTTCATTGAACATTTGGACAAAAATGAAACATTCAAATTAATATTATCTAAAAGTCTATATAAAAATATTTTATAATTTTGGTCACAAAATACCATTTTTTAGGTCATTATTTATAAAATCGATGGGTTTTACTTGAACTCATTAAAATGTCAAAATACATTAACTAGATAAATCATTTTGGTGAATTATGTACATTATAATTTAATGCATATTTAAGTGTTCTATTTAATACTTTAAAATCAAAGCTTTAATAATTATGTAAGTGCCTACTGTTAAAATTAAACATTTTGAACTTTTATTTTTTAATACTTAAATACAGCCAAACTTTTATATAGCCACTTTAAAATGATGAAAACTGTAGGTACATTTTTATTGTTTTGACACAAATAATATTGTAATTACAAAACCTATCCGAGTAAATATATAGAAGTTTTAATGTTGTTTTTTTACTTAATTGATAAAAAATAATAAAATGACCCATGAAGATACTTACATGTTTAATAGTTGTACTATTAAACGGATTTCCACCGGGAAAATGAACAGTATTTGGAAAAACCTTCGACAAACGGCTCATGGTGAAACAAATTATCGCGGAAACAAAACACTGGAACCATGCTATAAACATAGGCGCATCCATGTCTAATTTGTCACTAGTTAATAAAGTCTTGTTTACGAATACTGTTAGAATAGAAATTATCCTATAAATAAAAATAGAGTAAGTACAATAAAAAACATATTAATTGTTATAGATAAATAGGTAAATATAAAAAAAACTTTAATTCCAAAGTTTTTATTTTTACTCACCAATAAGCGACTACGACGAAGAATATTTGAACATATTTTAAGGATAAAGTGTCAAGCTTCATTTTAGGTTTGTTATAGATTCCTAATTATCTAATAAAGTCAATTCAAATATAAATAATGAGTAAAATAGCCTTATTACTTTTTGATTAAGTATACACTTCTAATATACAATAATAGTATTAATATAATTTTATTTAGGAACTTAATGAAATGGTTTGTATTTTTTTATTTTATACCTATGTAAATACTGTATACAACACATATGTTGTATAATTCACGTATATTAATGACATGATTGAACTGATGTTTCGGCATACGTGTTCCGAATTTAAACGTAGAAACGAATTAAAAAATCGAATATTAAATGCCAAAATTACGGCTATGACAAAGAGATTTATGAGCCAAGTTCGTACTTTTGGTAGAATCCGGAAACCGACAACAAAAAAAAAACTATTGTTGATAATATTATCACAAAATTGTAGTTATTACTATTTATTTTTCTCTGTGTTCATGTTAACCTTGTCTAAGATCGTGGTCTATACCATGATTGTGCTATGATAATATTTAATAATGGTAACGATAGCACGAGGTACAATCATTGATAATGCTGTACAAACGTTTTCAAATAATTTTTGAGTAGGTAAGTATAATGGTTTTATTTTTCTAATTATCTATTTTTGATTACAATAACATTGTTATGTTATAGACGCGGAATGTTTCCGTTGAGAACCGTTTTCAGCTTGGCTAAGCGTTTGACGGCGATTAGTCACATTGGTACTGTAAACTGTACGTTCTACAAGCGTTACAGCGATGACAAGAGTGACAAATTCGTCAAGCCTGACAATTATAAAGTTTTCAGAGACGACGACTCGTCAGTAATTTTGGATGTAGAAGAGGAACGCGACCTGCTGGAGTCACAACTCGGCAATGAAACTTTGGATTTTGAAGAAATCGATCAGTTCGAAGGTTTTAATACTTCACGTGAGTAAAACTAAGGCTGACCTATGATACGAGTTAAATTATGATATTAAAGAAAAAAAAAATACCCGTTTAGGTACGGTCCATTGATAGCCACCATCTTGTGTTAAGTATACAACATTGCTGTTCGAGCAGCAAATTTCGTCCTCTAACCTCTTCATTTATCTTGAAAATATGTGCAGTTGTAGGTCGTACTTGTCATAACCTTTCGAGGAAAAGATAATCAATGTTTTTCATTTTGTTCTTTACCCAGCACTCATCCTTTTATTATGATGTTTAAGAAGTCCTTATTTCTTGTCTATTCAATTTGGTTAAGAGTGTGTGATTTTGTGGAGCACTCTCTTATTTATTTTGTTTGTGAACAGTTTACAAACGTGTACTAGTATAATATAATTTTTTTTTTTTTAAATTGCCATAGAGGCATTTTTGTTTAAATGATAAAAGAATCTTTATAAATACAATTCAGTAGTATAATACATACAGTACAATATATAAATATATATATATATATAAAACGTGTGGGATATTTTACTTCCAGTGAAGCAACACCATTCTTAATCTAAAAATTAGACTAAATCAAATGACTTCAGTCGTTTGAGTTGTCCGATGTCTTGCAATTTGCCGAAAAGTTTTATGGCAGCTGTATTTGTGTGAAGCTCTAGTCTTCTTGCATGTTTGAAAGCAAACTGGGTAATTTCATCCTATTTCATACGAATTCATACGAATGACATTTTCAAATCGCGGTGGATAGTGTTGTTCTTATCATACCGATATACTGTGACAATAGTACGAAGAGCGATGCTCTGGCATCATTGTATTTTTCCGATATTGGACTTACTGGCACAACCCCACAGTTAAATACTATAAATCCAAATCAGTTTAAAAATCGGTACATACAAGAGACGTTTGCTGCTTACGTCTAGCTCAGAGTGTTGTCCAACTAGCCAGTACTGTTTGTGCATTTTTTGTTTGATTTGCAACTTTTTTCTGGCGTACATGTTTCCAGTTAAGTCGTGAGTCATGGTGCATTCCCAGATATTTTGCAGAATTATGAGTTGATTTAGCGTAACTGGGATGTATGTGGTTTTACATAAGGTGTAGTTAAGACTTATCTCCATTAATTTTTATTTGTATAATATAAATAGATAAAATATCATTATGTATATACAAACTATATGTATAAAAATACTCTGATGTTGGTATCTATTTAAATGGTTTTTATAAACATGCAGTTGAAAAAAATACTAACCTGTACTTATTACCTATATTTAATTTTTTGAATTTTCAAACTACAATAATATCTAAATTATTGTATAAAATACTAAATATTAACTTTGGTAATAACTGAAATTTGTTTGATCTGATGTGTATGTTTGAGATTTTTTCTTAATATTAATAATTTATTACCTAATTTATTGATTGTGAATTATATTATGAATTTTCTATAATGTAATTTCTATGTAACTTCCACTTAAAACAAATTGGCAGCTGTATTAAATTGCAAGAAAAATATTATGTTCGAATATAAATACTAATAATAGATTAGATTATTATTATTATATTTTTTTGTAGGTGGTGTGTCTGGAGTCTTTGAAGTCGAAGACATAACTGAAGTATTGAAGAAAAACAACGCTAAAGATATTTTTGTTGTGAGCATTCCGAGCAATTTAAGATATGTTGATTATATCGTTATCGCATCTGGCAAGTCGGAAAAACATTTGTTGTCCATTTCTGAATTTGTGAAAAAGCTTTTCAAAAGAAAGTGTAGGCCCACAGACAGTATACCGAGATTCTTGAATAGAAAACCTTTGGATTGGATTGCGGTAGACTTGGGTAATTCTCATTTTTCATCAACTATAATACTATTGCTATAATTTTATTTTTATAATAATATTTTTTTTGAACATTTATAAAGCCCTCTGCATACTATGCAATTGACATGCAGTGTGATTTCACCTTATCCCGATTTTGAACAAAGTGAATGGGGATCTACTAACAACATGATTTAAACAATGTACGACTGGCAGTACTGGTCATCTGGCAATCTTATTATGCATATTGCATGCAATTTAATTTCTCTTAACTCGCACATTCTCTCGTATGAGTGTTCTTCTGATGAATAACAGGAAAAATAATCTTACTAGTTTTTTAGGACTCATAAGCATTCTATAAAGTGCCAAAAAATTTTCATCTTGTAATTTTCTAACTACTACAAAAGTTTGACAGTTAATATTTTTCTTAATATAAGAATGGGCCCAATATTTCTTGTTTTTTTTTTTTTACATTCTTGTGTACCAATAGTACATAACAATGTTCTCTTCATCATTCGAACTAGCTGAACTTGACAATTTTGAAATTGAAATCAAAACAAGTCATTTGATTAACACTGTATGATCAACTGATCTAGTTGGCCAGAGAGTAGAATGGCGGCAACAGTAAGCCCTGCTTGATATCATAGAAGGCGACAAATGGGCGAAAACACGAGCGAGCGCTCCATGTAAGAGCCTACCCAGAGCTCAGGGATGCCTTCTCAATCCGGGAAGATCGACAGCGGAAGGCTACGACCTGATGATGCTCCCGGTCGAGCATCCCACTAGCAATGCTAAGGCTGGTACCACGGGATGGAGGGAGCTCACGCTGCCTCGAGCATTTTGGGGCGGCGGCCCATCACAACGGCCAGCTTCCAGTCTTGGCCGGATTTCAGCCAGCGGCCGAATGATTTTGTGGTGGCTGCCACTGGAGTGACTATGTGGTTATGGGTCATGCTGACTCGAAGAAAACTCTAGGTCAAACAGCCTCATAAACAGGCGCGGCTGCGAATCGCGGTATCTCTCTGGTGCCTACTCAGTCTATCAGCAGACTAACACTACACAGAAGGTTGTCCGTGATCAAAAACGGAAAGCAGTGAGGTAGGCTGTGGCCGTAATAACAGCGGGGGACGGGTGGCGCTTGACCTTAACCCATTGGTACACGAGGCTTCATTGATTTTCAAGATTCCACGGTGCTTTTGGTCCTTAAAACAACATGTGAGAATGCTGGACCAGCTCGCCACTCAGGAAACTCTTGAACCTCCGCGCCACCTTACTAGCCATAGGCTAACATAGGGTGTGCGGTTGCAGGGTGAGACATTCACCCAACAAAAATCGGATTCAATTGTATGATCAACTAAATATCATTTCGTGTTGGTAGATCCCAAATTGCACATATTGCACATGTCTCACTAATTGGATTATGATTGTGTAGCGATGCAATCGCCTAGAGTGGGGTGGCCTTAAGACTGCGAGTAAGCATTGGTTCATGTACACTACAGTAGACTCCGCTTTATAGAGTCAAGAATAAAAAATATAGGAGCAAGGGAGGCAATATTGAGCCTAAAGATGATCATGGAAAAGATATATATAGCATTTGTTGACCTGGAAAAAGCTTTACTAACTGTAAACTGTGAAAAATTATTCACTTTTCTGAAAGACAAATACATTGATATTAAATATAGAAGAATTATCAAAGAGTTATATTTGAATGAAAAGGCTGTGTTAATAGAGAAAAAAAGTATGGGAGGAAGCAAAGATTGAGATAGGAGTAAGACAAGAGTGTAATTTATTTTGGTGTAATGTAACTGGCATTTTCACTGAATATATAATATATTAGATGTTTGTAGACATGGTAATATTTGAAAACCATTCAGGCAATTATTGAGCTATTTATTGTAGGTATTATATTAATTTTAAATTGTCATTTTATGTGAAAATCAAATTTTGGATTAAAAATTTGGTACTATAATATAAAATTTTTCATTCAAAATTTGTTCTTATGACAATTAGTATACAAATATTGAATTTATATGCATTTATAAAAAATAACATTTCTTGATTGATTCATCGTCACATAGCCTGAACTACTGGAAGGGTTAGTCTGATTTTATAAAAGCGAAAATCACCTGGAACTACCTTTTTTATATTCCTAATTCGTGTTATATTGCCCATATTAAGCTGTTGTTAATAAAAAATAGTGC